TGTACTAAGATAGACCCCATACAAAATCTAGTAGGCACGTACTAAGATGCATTATTCCTCACCGTTGTTGGTTCAAGAGAATATATTCTAAACGCAACAATGGTTTTACAGTCATGCAAGTCGTATGATGAGCTGACGTTCCCAAACCTCTAACAGTCAACCCCATTTAAGGATGTAGTAGACTTTCGTGGTAATTTTTTCTTCATTTTTCTTTCCTTTTATTAAATGGTGACTTATACATATAAGCAGCCATACGACCTCGTTTTTTTTTTATTAAATTACGTTTTTATTTCAAGAAAAAACGGCCTTTTTGAAAAATTAGAACGCTCGTCATGTTATTCCGTTGACGTGGCCAGAGGTCACTTTTATGAAAGACTGTCAAAGTGAAAACGTAGCAGTCGACCGTGAATAACGACCTGGTTAGTTTCCCACTTCGTCCTTCACCTTGATCAGCCAGGGCGACTTCACTTTGACAAAAGTGAGCCAGTAGCATTAATGACCCTCTTTCAATACACCTGTCCTATCAATCGCGCCCTCTAGTGACGAAAAGCTTCCGCGGCGTAAATGGGTTACCATGACACAAATGTTCGTTGGTCAAGATTGGGTAGTAGTCAACCGGACAGATCGCATTGTCTAGAAATTGTCTGGTAAATGCCAATCAGTTGCTACCAGCGTCATATTTGAAGGCATTCCGGTCACTGGTAGGTTGTCGCATCAGACTCATGATCGCTAGACCCAAGTTCAAATCCTACCTTAGGCTGAACATCAAAAGGGTCGACCCCTACCCTGGGTGAGTGTGCCACAGACTCAATGGGATGGCCAATTCCACTGGCTGAGATTCATTCACTAACGAATGTGACTTTGGGGGAACCTTGGTTAAGGTCCGCAGGTTCTTGTGTTCGACGGAGCCTGGTTAATGCCCGGATAGCGCATTAAATTTGCCATTTGACAAAGAGATGACCTCTTTGGCAAAAATGCACTATGTGTCAGCACTAGCATTTGCACATACAAAAAAGTCAGGAGAGACAGCAGTGACACCCAATGTCCAGAACTGTCGCCTGGCACAAACACATTTATTTCGCTGATCACGCTGGAACGAATTAATTATAACATCCGTGACAATTCAGAAAAAAATACGGATTCGCATCCTGTCCGACTGTGGTATTAAAAGCACAGGGATCGTCACCTGCGCACGCGTGGGAATTACATTCCAATCGACGCCAACAATGCACGTTTGTTTGAAAACATCGACACGCTATGGCCGTCTGCTGCATGCGCAGGTGACGACCCCCCCCCTCCCGCTTTAACGTGTCGTGTATTCAAATTAGAACAACCCACGGCATGATAGAATATGCAAATGAAAAAGACTTTAAATCGACTTCCGTCTGGCAAACTTCGTGATCTGTAGTAATCTTTTTAACTGAGCATAATCATGGGAATGATAGAAGGGTGTGGCCGGGTCCATCCCTGTAAATAGATTGGATTCAACAATCCACCGACATTAGGTGAATGCGATCACCGTGACAGTGAAAATTGTCGAGTGCGCCCTCAGTCGGCACACGATTGTTGCGTCATTGGCTGGTTCTCGCCTGGAGCGTCATGGCGCACCAAGCCAAGCGATTGACGATATGGCGATTACTTGTTAGGCTATACTGATTTAATTTTATGGATGACATCCTCTGGAGACCCCAAAACTAATGCGAGAGGGCGAAAAAAAAATCATGCCAAAAAAAAAAATCCCGCTGAAACCACAGGACTACGGAGCTGCTATTACGAATTGAACCACAGAACACAATGTATCTAAAGACAACAAGAAGTCTTTATTTGTAGGAGGCACATGTTGATATACACATCTCGTACTGTATTACTGTCACAGGTATAACCATTTCAGACAAGCTCTAGTACATGTAGTCATGATGAAGTACCTTCAGTCAAAACACTGCATTCAAGGTACAACATGAACATCATTTTCAGTACAAGTCAAGGCGGAATGTACATATCACTACTTTATGACAATAACTAACTAACCATTGCAATGATACAGAAATGTCCTTGCTTGCTCCTCTCTACACAGTAGGGGTTAGCTTTAACCAATCTCTCGTATAGCTGTGTAAAAGTCGCATCTCCCTGGCCGCGTACCAGTCTACAACAATCCCTCAGTTTTTCTTCTGAACTTTTATGCTCACGTATTCCCGGCAACGCAATACGCATTTCCAGAAGATCATTTACGACAAAATTGGCACGTTTTTAGATAGTCCAAAAACAGTTTTACGACAAGCCGGCGCTTTGCGACAATACGAGTCGGCAAGTTTCGGAAAGAAAACCGATCTGTAGAGACTCGTCGTCGGAGATTTTTTGTTTTGTTTTGAGAACAGGCGAAAACTAATGTGCGCGTGGATGTCATCCATAAAATTAAGTCGGTGTGGCCTTACCTGCCAATCTCCTTCCCATAAGTCTTTGCGCTTTACGCAATAGTAACTCTGCCTCAAGCAGCCTTCAATTTTGTGGCCAATCACCTCACTAGGCTTTTTACCCTAAAACGTGGAAAAATGTTTGTGACAGCCGAACTATTTATTAATATCTGACTTATGTGGAAACGTAAATACCAACAATTTTAGCACGGACTATTTTGTGCAATGTAATGTTACTGTAGTGAAATGACGCACGTGTTACACTAAACGCTAGCATGAATCATGTACGTTTAAATTAAATTAAATTAACCGAACATCTATTTCAGAATTAGGGCGTAAAACATGTTATAAAACTGATTTGGGTAATTGGATGACTTGAACAAAACTATGTTTACCGACAGGGAACATATTCGAATATGCAAATGAGTTCTATGCAAATATGCAAATGAGCTCTATGCTAATAATAATAAGTAACGCGTATCGAACTGTTCGGTTAACTGCGTTATTTGCTATTCGCAAAAGACGCTGGGAACCAGCAAAGCTGCGACACTACAGTACCACTCAGACAGGCGATGCACACCACGGCAGACTGACGAATCGAATCCGATACAAACAAATACTGAACTTTATTAGGGA